AATATTTAAACATCTAAAATATATTGTACTTATTTGCTATACCTTACATTTTATTAATGAAGTTATTATTTATACGCCAAAATGGCTCGCTGAAACTAATAATTTCTGTATAGTGTCTTGTTTAGGTACGTACCGTAAATATAACCTCCATTTAGTAAGTCGGTTAATAAAAATAATATAGTTTACGCATATAGTAATGTAAATCTAATTCTAAGAGAACTATTTTAGAGAAGCTTTACTATTACAAATCTCAAGATTTAGAAGAGTTTTTTACAAGATCAAAGTATTGTTTGACAGTAATTTTGTTCGATACCAAGTAACCTTAAGTGTAGGACTTGTTTAAATGTAGTTGTGTGGTACTGAATACTATACTTATTTTAATTTTGCAGGTTTGGAACCAATAACAAAGAGCCCTAATAAAGAAATTTGTAAGATACTCCTCATTGCTCAGCTAATCGGGGCAGTCGCAGTAACAGTTTGTTATGATTCTACTTTTTTATTCTTATTCGGATATACCGCGGCAATGTTTGGAATTCTTAAAGAAGAGATAATGTCTTTAGAAGTTAAAAAGGATATAGAGCAACAGGTCACTGGAACTGTTAAAGAACGCCTCAAGAATATATTCATTCGTCACACTTTAATCTTACATACTGTTGAGAATATACAAGACATATACAATTTTAGTATCGGTTTAAGTTTTGTAGAGGGCGCTATTACAATGTGTTTATTTTTCATTGTACCATTGCGTGTTAGTTTAAATTTCATTCCACTTCTAACACATAACTTTTTGACATTTTTCTTATATTGTTACCAAGGACAGAAGATAACTACAGCTGCCGAAAGATTCGAAATGTCAGTATATTGTTGCGGATGGGAGAATTTTGATATCAAAGAACAGAAATTGATACTTACCATGTTGAGACAATCTCAGAAACCAGTGATAATAAATGCAGCATCTGTTATACCGATTTGTATCTATACTTTTGCTTGTACTATGCAAGGGATTTATAAATTCGGTGCTGCGTTCAAAAGTTAAGAAGATATAAAGATATATAGCGTAAACCACAGTAGGAAAATTAGTTATCATATTTTAGTCCTTTTCCCGTTCCACCCTTTTCTTGTAAGGAAATATCCTCTTTATGTGCGTCTCCTCCTCCGTCGATTTAAGGTAGGCAAGGCATGTGCAATTGCGGATGTACATGAACAGCGGTTGCTTGCTCGTTTGTAACCTTCTTGTATAAAAAAAATATATTTTTAATGTAGATAACAAACAGAGTAGTCGCTTAAGGCAGTTATCAAGAACAGTAGTATTTTGGATCATTTGCACAGGACAATAAAGGGATAAACAACAATGCTGTTTGCAATAAAGTCATATAGCAACACGATTTTATGACGTAGCATCATCATAATGGCCGGGATGGTGTTTAAGTTGGCCGACATCTGTTTAAGAAAACAGTCAGTTAATTAAGTTTTCTTTGTTTAAGATTTATGGGGCGTTATCGTCGCTACGCGACAAAGCCCCCTGTAAAAAAAATCATCATAATGATCGTTATCTTGAATATCTGATGATTATATCTGATGATAATATGATTACAGTTTAGAACTAGCTGCACTGTAGCACGGATTAATAGCAATTAAAGAAAATTAATGTTTGTTTTTAACTATACGCAACAACAACATTAAAATGTGCACTATTCTTTAGTAGTTTAATAAAATAAAGTTATGAATTCAGTAAAGCATTCTTTATTTACTCCAGGAACAAAGGGGACTCCCTTCCTAATGTTAACAATCTTTTAATAATAACATAACAATCTATACGATATTATAAAAAATCTATTTGATATTATAAAGAGGAAAGATTTGTATTTTTGAATTATTGACCAACTTTCCAAAAGAAGGAGGTACTCAATTCGTCTGTATGTTTTTTTTCCCATATATTGATATAACTCAACAACCACTTTGCCGATTTCAAAAATTCTCGCGCCATTCAAAAGCTTTGTTATCACTGAGTAACACAGGCCATATTTTTACTATTTTATTTATCCTACACGCACGAAGTCGCGACCAACAACTATTCGTCTAATAAACTAGCTGTTGCTCGCGACTTCGCCCTCGTAAAATAAAAAAAAATATAGCCTATGTCACTCACAGATAAATTACCTTTCTAATGGTGAAAGAATTTTTAAAATCGGCCCAGTAGTTTTTGAGTTATTTTAATATTTACAAAAATACAAATCTTTCCTCTTTATAATATTAGTATAGATGTTGGAACGCAGTACCTAATAAATAAAATTATGTTAATGACATTTTGGAAAACCTAAGTACAGTAGTTGTTAAAAATAGTCTAATTACTGCGACAGTACACCGACCATAAAGTGTTGACGGATTTTCTACACAAAGGTTATGAAGCCAGGCACCATCCCTGCGTACCTTCTTTTATTTTTGTTACATTCTTGAGGAATCTTAAAAACAAACCTACAAGTCTTGACCAAGGATCCATCCTTGATTTGACCGTGATTTCTTTTTTTATTCTGGTTGTGAGATTCTACGACCTCTTCCTGTTATTTTCTGTATATGCTTGGTTGGAACAAATCCGCGAATATTTTGCGGATTCGTAATTAAAACATCAATGAATATTAATGTATAATATGCACCATTAAAACTGATTTCTCAAATGACTTAATACGTCAGTCAATTACTTAATTGCACAACTAATCTTTTGCAATTAATATGATTCTTTGACTAATTTTGTGAAAATTATTATTTCATTTCGCTATACAATTGTGATGTGAAGGAGTTCGGAGCCATGAGGAACTTTATATTACGATTAAAAAGTAAACTCACTGATAACTCTTTTGACAATCTCGTTTGGTTGGTTAACTTGTTCCCTACAATGTTGGGTTTCTCTTACTTCGGTGTTAAAATTAAAGGTAATTTGTCTGTATTATTACGGACCCTTAATATGCCATCAAGATTTAGATATAATATAAAGATTCTTATATCTTCTACTTATAGAATGAGAGTTACTTCTAAAAATAGTTAAAACACTTGAGATATATGTTTATCTAAGGTTATATAGTTGATCTTTTGAACATTGTCTTTTGAATTTCTGTACATTCCTTATACAAAAAGTAAAACTTTAGTTTGATTCTTTTCAATCATCATGAAGAATGATACATGTCATCGGTTTAAAAACCTATCGTCATCTCCCCTGCCTGATCCTTGTCCCATAGTGTCGGCGCGCCGGGTTTTCGTCCTCCAAATAACTCTATCATGCGTAATATCAGTCATCACTCCCTTCTTGATCATGTCACCTTTCACGCATTCCATCTATCTCTTTCTAGGTCTACCTCTTCCGGTGTACCCCTCCACATTGATAACTAACGTCCTTCTTGTTACATGCGATTCATCCCTTCTCATAATGCTCATACCACTCCAACCTTTCACTCCTTATTTTCTCAACCGATGAGGCTACTCTCAAACTTTCTATAAAAACCTATAGCTAATCTATTAATATCTGTTTTAAGATGTTTCAGCACTATTTTGGATTTTCCTATTATTGAGCACGTTTTACATAAATATTGTGGGAACTATCGTGTATCAGAAGTATCATGCTGCGGGATTGGTTGATACATTAAATAGCTATTTCAATGTATTAATATTTATTATAACCTACAATTACTGTCGATGGTTTTTATTTGAACGGTGAGTTAGAATTCATATCGTTAAATACATCTTTTTAATCACATTAGCAAGATTATTTATACGAAATACTTGAATTTTCAAACACGTTGAAATAGAAAAAAAACCCAGGACATAAGAATAAACATTTTTTGCTTATAATAAAAACACAGTGAGTCTTTGTAAACGACAGTACACTAGAAAAATTACAATAAAGTTAACTAGATTAATTTTACGCAAACGTGTGTAGAGAAATTTTTATACTAAGATTTTATTCTTTACGTATTATTTTTTTTAAAATCCTTAGGAAAAGTTTAATAAATCTACTCGAACTTACAAACAAGAATAACGATATGGCAATGGAGTGTGAAAATAGCGCTGAGAAACTTAAAGAAATAATAAAATCTATCAAAAACCTAATAATCATTTGGTATTTATTTCATTTAGTCAATGGAGTGTTTGTATTCATACCTAAAAGAATATCTGAAATGGATGATTGTTCACTATCGTCTTGTGTTGGTAAGTTTTTAGGTTATAAAAACGAAAAAATCACTGTCATAATAAAGAAAAGAATGAAGATAGAATTATTTATTTTTAGGTCTAAAACCAATGTCAGAACATCCAAATAAAGAAGTTTGTATGGTAATATTGACTGCACATGCGTTATTTTGCATCACCACGACAGCCTGCTATGATGCGACATTCTTATTCTTATTTGCGCATACGGCGGCCATGTTTGAAATACTAAAAGAAGAAACAATCTCTTTGAATGATTTTGAAACTTCGACAGATAACTCCTGTGATATGCGAACAGTTACGAAAAGATTGAGAAATCTAATAAAACGGCATTCCTTAATTTTGCATACAGTTAAAAAAATACAAGATATATACAGTACTGCTGTTGGTATTAGTCTTGGTTTGGAAGCGATTTCTATGTGTTTATTTTTTGTGTTACCGTTTGAAGCAGTTTTGAACTTAGTGCCGATCATAATTCATGGTCTTTCAATGTTCTTTTTGTATTGTTATCAAGGTCAGAAGATAACTACTGCTGCAGAGGGATTTGAAATGGCGGTGTACTGTTGCGGTTGGGAAAACTTTGATGTGAAAGAGCAAAAAATGATATTGATCATGTTGAAGCAATCACAAAAGCCTGTAATATTAAAAGCGGCGTCAGTAGCTCCGATTTGTATCTATTCATTTGCTTACACTATGCAGTCTATCTATAAATTAGTAACTGCTTTCAAAACTTAAATTTATGAAGCGTATTTTTTTAGTTTGATAAAATTTTTCTTCTCAAAAACTTGCTGGTGACCTAGTATACATTTGAAATAGTTTGCTTTTAAAAATAGAACAAGACAGAGCGAAAGTAGGCAATAAATATTAAACAATATTCATTGTTTTATTTTATTTTTAGACCGACTACCCAAAAGAAGGAGGTACTCAATTAGTCTGTATGTTTTCTTTTTTTTATTTTTTTTATGTGTGTTACGGCATAACTCCGCCGCTAGTGGACCGATTTTGATAATTCTTTTTTTATCCGAAAGGTAAGGCTTGCAGGTTGGTCCCATTTTTTTTGGTTGATTTTTGGAGTCAAAGACTACGACGTAGTTAAATAGTTTAGCTAAAAATCGCGCGACGAAATTTTGGGTCATTTTTCATCATATCTGTTTGTGGTATCAAAATCATTACCAGCTGCCCACCAGTACCACTCCCTACTAAAGGTTTCGGAGCCTACCCTATTACCACCCCTAGTAAGAAGTATTTGTTGTATACTCATATTTTTTTAAATTCATATTTTAACAATACAAAAACAACTTAAACTTAGTTACTAGTTATAAACCTTACTGGTTTTTCACTAGCGCTTCAGTGATATAACATTCTTGGTTGTAAATTCCCTCTCAATCTTATATTTGACCATCAATATACACTTAAAGTTCGTTACAATCACAGTCACCTACATCCTAAAGAATTACAAATCCTTCAAATCACGGCTTTAAAAAGTGTTAGCTTATAAATCGAAATTCTACTCTGATTCCTAAAGAAGCAATTCCGCGTTCCGTCTGAGTGTGGTGCTGGGGGCCTAATTCTAGTCCCTTTCCCTTTCCACCCTTTTCTCAAGAGGTCTCCTCTTGGATGGGAAGGAAAAGTTGATTTGACGGTGGAGTAGACGCCATACGAAGGGGAAATGTCCTCTTTGTGTGCATCTCGTCCTCTGACGATTAAGGATAGATAACACAGTTGTGAATGTTTATGCGCAGCGGTCGCTTCCCCAATTCGGCGAATTCAGGTGACCGCTTGATCGTTTGCCACTTAATATTATAAAGAAAAAGTACAAATTTAATTTCCCATCACTAGCTCATTGAAAAAGTCAACTATTGCTGAATCATTAATGTCTAAATCTTATCAATTGGTCCTCGTTTGCTAAACGACATGATTGACTAACAATTTGCCATACTAGGTCCAATTAAAATATGACTGTTACATGGATTTGCACTTTTTACTTGGTCTATTTTGTTCCTAGTATTTGTGCATAACGGTCATCACGATGAAAGATTTAATGAAGCAAATAAAAATAAAATTTGAAGAGAACTCTTTCCAGAACATCGTTTGGTGGATCAATTTGTTTCCACGAGTTTTTGGTTTTTCTTACTTTACTGGCAAAGTTGTAGGTAATTTGTTTTTTAGACTTTTCTCCCATTTTTTTTGAAAGTAACTCATAATACTATAAAGAAAATCTGAGATTCTTTTTATTGAAGTAATAAATATGTATTGATAGTTTGTAAAAGGATGGAAAGGATAATTTTAGTAGATAAGTAAGCGGCAAAAATTTTAAGCTGTTATAGGCAGTCACTTTCCTGTACAACTTAGTATCGGAATCTATGGTTTGAGTACGAAAAACAAAATAATAGACAACGAAAGTAAAGTCTTTGAAGTTTTTTTAGATGTGCGTCTGCTGTTTTCAAAATACTACAGAGAAGTTCGTAGGTAACTCGTATTTTTCAATTTGCAGGACCGTTTTGGATTTTCCTCTTGTCATGCACGTTTTACCTCGATTTTGTTGGGTTTGTCAGTTTCCACATGTTCCACGCTGACGGAATAATCGATATGTTAAACAGTTGTTTTAGTATTTCATTACTTGTAATTATCTATAACACCGGGCGATGGATGATATTTGAAAGGTAAGAGGTTACTTTGTCAAAAAAAATGTTTAAAAAGATACTTTTACATGTTATAGAGTACATACAATTTAATGAACAGTGCACAGTCTTTTGTAGTAAACTAATTTTTACTGGTTTATTTTAGAAACGGTCTCCGTAAAGTTCTTGAGCTAGCAAAAAAGAATAACAATATGGCTATGCAGTTTGAGAGTACTATTCCGAAACATACATCTTTGATCAAATCTATGAAAAATCTAGTGATCGTTTGCTATTTCTTTCATTTCATAAACGACTTCATAGTGTTCACTCCGCAAAGGCTCTCAAAAATTGGGGACTTTTCTGTGACATCTTGTGTCGGTAAGTATAACAAATGAATGTAATTTTATAAAATTTTAAATTCATTTATGATTTTTCATATTGTATTCTAGGCATGGAACCATTAAAGAATAGTCCAAATAGAGAAATATGTACTACATTTTTCATTCTACAAGCAATTTTCGGAATCGGTGTTACAGCCAGTTACGATGCAACATTTCTATTCATCTTCGCTCATACGGCGGCCATGTTTGAAATACTTCAAGAAGAAACGATGTCTTTGAATGATCAAGAAATTACAACAGTTGCTGGGATGATAAAAAACTTAGTTCACCGTCACTCTTTAATCCTCCACACAGTTAAAGAGATTCAAAATATTTATAGCGTCACGATTGGAGTGAGTTTTGGTCTAGAGGCAATTTCTATGTGTATATTTTTTGTACTACCATTAAATTTAGCATTTAATTTTACACCAATAATTCTACACGGTTTTTTTGTTTTCTTTTTATATTGTTATCAAGGACAGAAGATAACTACGGCAGCTGAACGATTCCAAACGGCGGTATACTTTTGTGGATGGGAGAATTTTAAGATAAAAGAACAGAAAATGGTATTGATTATGTTGAGGCAATCACAAATGCCTGTGGTATTGAAGGCGGGATCTTTGGTACCAGTTTGCATCTATACCTTTGCTAGCACTTTGCAGTCTATATATAAATTCGTGACTGCATTCAAAACATAATTCATCGGTATTTATATTTTGATTTAAAATGTCAGTTATATTAGTAAAACTTTAGTATTATTTGGCACTATACTAATAATTATAGAACAACTTAAAGCGTCCCGACATTTGGATAAAAAAATCTATATTTTATTTGGACTCTTTGATACTCACGGTTAAACAAATATAGACGTAGAATAGAAAGGTTGTTTTATTTAATAACACAACAATATCTAAAAATTATAAACGTTTTGTTGTTTTTAAATAATTTTAACAATTCGCGATTTATTTAGACAATGCTCTTTGCGTATCTTGACGCTTTTATTTCTAAAAATTCTACATTCGTGGGAATTTATTTTTTTCTTGTGTTTTCTTTTTTACAGACAAGCTATCATTATTTTTCTTTAACTGTAGTGTTTGAATTATGGGCAGTCATGATTGTAGGTTAAGAAATGTTAATTAAGGAGTCGGGGTTCAAAGAAAATTGTTCAAATCACATATTCTCACATTATCATTTTGCTTAGCGTTACAATACTATATAGAGAGTCGGCGTGTACTGTCAATTTGTCTGTAAAAGCTCTTAAAATAATTGATCGCAAATAATTTTCGATACACATTTTTATTATCCTCTGTTTTTATCTTAAAAAAAATATTTTTTCTTATTGAAATTAATTGTAAACTAATTTTAAGAACAATTTACGTTTAATTTAATAAAAAAATCTTATATCATAAAAATTTAGACAGAGCCAGATGTTTATGCTATACTTTTTTATTCTTTGATTCGTAGAGGTTTTTAATGGTCTACTTTTATTTCTTAACAGCCTATACGACGACGTTGTAGAAAAATATCACAATATTTTCTAAAACTTGCACTTAAGTACAGCATTATGACGTTAAAAAATTACATCAAAGATGCTTTTTTAAAAGGTAAAAAACATTTGCAGCGGAATGATCTAGAGAGTTTACTATGGATGATTAACCTCATACCAAATATTGCGGAAATAACCAAACAAACTGGTATGTTAAAAATTTATATATCATTCGGATCCAATAAATAAACTATTTATAGTTTGTCTAAAAAACAGATTAGACAATTCATGTGACAAATAAGTAGGGATGGGTTGTGTAAAATCAGCATGAATCTTTTCGATTTTCGATTTTTATTCTGAAAAAAATTGGAATCAATAGATTCATAGCTATAACTTATGGATTTTAAAAAAACTTTGTTTTCTCAAATTAATAAGAATCATTACAAATAATGAGAGTAAATAAATAAATATTTATTATCTACTACTACAGTCGTACGTAATTACATAATCGAATTAGATCGCTATTATTATTCTCATCGCCAAATTCTCTATATTATAATCAATACTAGAATTGTCCTCTAAATTAGTTAATAAGAAAATAACAATTTTACTTAAGTCCGATGAATTTATTCAAACCGAATATCGATAGTTCATAATTGTTCGCTATGCGTGTTTGTTTCGTCACTACGATATCTGTCGATAAAGTACGGCATTTACCTTTATAAAAATTAAATTCGATACTTCATATGCGTCATTTATAAAACTAATCTATCTTATTTAGACAAACTATAAACCGAGGAACGTTATATTTTATTTATAGCGGCCATTATGGTTTACTACGCTTACAGCATTCTGTGAAAGTTTTGTGACGAAGATAAAGATAATAAAACGGCTATCTTTAACGGTTAAAAATTGCAAATGCTTTTCGAGTCTATTGCTAACAATTATCATAGTTAAAATAATTGAAAAACGTTGTATATTACAAAATAACTAGCTGCTGCTCGCGTAATTCGTCCGACTCAAATTAAAAAAAGTATAGCCTTTCTAATGGCGAAAGAATTTTTAAAATCGGCCCAGTAGTTTTTGAGTTATTTCAATACATACAAAAATCCAAAAATACAAATCTTTTCTCTTAATAATATTTTTATTATATTTAGTTATTAGTTATGTTAATTGTTTTTTATTTTATTTTTTTAGCTGCATTCTGGGCGTTGCATTTTGTTCTTCTCCTGTATATCTATGGACTTGGTTGTCTCGTTTATCAGATAAAATTTGCTAGCGGTCCTGGTGATTTTATTAAGAGTTACGTCAATGTTTCTATCTTCACTCTAACTGCGACGAGTAGCGGTTGGTTTCTTATGAAATGGTAATTGTAACATTTTACTATTCTTCTGAACGTATTGATGATATTGAGTACTTCTATTTAGAAGATTTAGTCAATTTTACATTTAATATATTATTTGTAGTTGTATCCGTTTTGTTTCTAAAAAGCAAAGCATAATGACTTCGAGGTAATATTTTATTTTCAGGCCCTTCTGTAAAAATGTTTTAAAGAAAGTATTAAAAAATGACGAACTATCTCGTCAGTCGGAATTCATTAAGAAGCGTCACACCAAGCTGTTGTCAGTTATTAAGAAAATGTTATTGATTTTCTACATTTCGAACATGATGAATGTTTTCTTCATATATATGCCCAATCGCGCTGATTTGCAAAATGATAATTATTCTATGACGCAATGCGTAGGTGAGCAACAGCAAAGTGCAGCCTTTACTAATAACCTTAACTTCTAACCTTTTTCGTATATCTAAAGCTGCGTTTATTACCATTGAACACATTTGCTTTAAATCAAGAAAAAGCTATTCCACTTCGCTTTAATATGTACCTATTTAATCTGATTCTACGCACAATTCAGTATTTATTACTTTTTGGTATGTCTTTTTTTTATAACATAAGAAGGCAAACGAGCAAGCAGCCACCTGAATCCGTCAAAATGGCGAAGCCACCGCTGCTCATAGACATCTGCAATTGCAGATGCGTTGCCTACCCTTATCCGACTGAGGAGGAGACGCACATAAGGGGGTTATTTCCCCTTACTATGCTTCTCCACCGTCAAATCACTTCCCGTTCCCATCCTCTACTTATAAGAAAAGGGTGGTAAAGGAAAAGAGATATAAATTAGGCCTCCGGCACCACACTCATAAGACGAAACACGGAATTGCTTCCATTTCACGCTTGTCTTCTGTGTGGTTGTGGTATTACACTGAGCGTGCCGGCTCATTCGTGCTAAGAAAATAAAGCGGGCACTACCACTGTTAGTTGTCTATAAGAGATTACACATATGTACAACAAATGTTTTAGGTCTGGAACCTTTGTCAACATCACCAAACCGAGAGGTCTGTCAAACGATAATTCTTACGTTGGAATTAAGCTTGGTAACAATCGTCCTTAATTATCAAGCTCTTTTATTATTACTGATAGCTCACACAACATCAATGTATCAATTAATGGCTGACGAAATGACGGCGTTAAACGAAGATAATGTAAATGTTAAAGAAAAACTACCAACGATGATAATTCGTCATTCAATGACAATGGGAACCGTTGACGATTTAAAATTCCTTTACAGTGTACCTATAGGTATTCATTTTGGTTCAAACGCGGTCTGCATTTGTTTATTCTTTTATCTACCGTTACAAGATTGGATCACATTCATTCCCGTGTTAATGTATTGTTTTTTGGTGTACTTTTTATATTGTTTTCTATGTCAGAGATTAATTAACGCTTCAGAAGAGTTTGAAAGAGCAGTGTATTGCTGTGGATGGGAAAAATTCGATTTGAATGAAATGAGATTAACTTATATGATGCTGATGCAAGCACAGAAGCCTATTGAATTGTTAGCAGCTGGTATAGTCCCTATTAATATTTACACATTTGCAACATCAATGCAGGCAATGTTTAAATTTGTTACTGTTGTCAAATTTTAACAGGAAACTTGATATTTCTTTGCACGTTTTTTAATAAGCACAAGAATTGTTTTATGCACAATTTCGTAATGTTATTTAACATTGTATTTTAGTTAATAAATTCTACAATTATGCAAAAGATTTTTTTTATACGAGAAGGGGGCAAACGGGAACACAAAGGTGGTCACCGACGCCCATGGACATCCGCAACACCAGAGAAACTACAGATGCGTTGCCGGCCTTTGAGGAAATTGTAGGCTCGCTTCTTGAAGGACCCTAAGCTTTAAGTTATTTTAAACTATAAAATGTTGTAAAGCAACTATCCAATTAAGCAGTTGTCTAAAAATTAAAAGATTATACGAAAAAGTAATATTGATACTACATAGATACAGTCTTGGTAACTAGATAAAATATTCCTATAACTATGTTTTTCACGTTTTTGTATTGTTGTTGGACATTGATTTATTAGAGTAATAATATGATGTAAATGTTTTCACTCCAGTGAACGGACTAACATTTCAAAGCAGCCTTAAACATAATGGACTCGACGTGTGGTGAAATAATGTTTTTTGCCTAAACTAAGTCGAACATGTTTCATCACGTTTATAAAATTTTGTCTTTGTTGCTTTTTGTACATAACCGTCTTGTCTTTTTTCCTTTTAATATTAGATTAGGTTAGGTAAAAATTTTATTATAGTTAAGGTGTGCAGAGTTCGAAACGGTAATTAAGGCAAGGCCTCCCTGACATTTGACAAACTACCTGGATTACTCGTATACACGAGAAAATAAGCGCAAAAACATGAATTCTGTATGGTCTTAATTTTCGAGTTTATATTAAATATTAATGTGACCAAAGCGTCTTTTACAATTACTAATTAATAAATGTTGTCGAAGCAAAACATAGTTATAATGTAAATTAGTGCGTTTATATGTACAACCTTGATATTTATAAAAAATGTTCAACTCATGACCTTACGTAAATCAGAAAGTGAGTTAGGTTTTCTATTGTAATATTTTTAATTCAAAGAAATTCCCACTTTGACACATATTTTAAAAGTAACCTTAAGTACCTCTTACGTAAAGTTATTTGCACGTGAAGCAATAATTGAATTACATCTCGAAATTGCGAACGGAACGAGTTGAGTGCAGACGTATGGAACGATCGGAACTGAGGGAGTGAGACTAGAAATGTTTCCATGAAACTCGCTCCGCTAGTTTGGCTCGAAACGTGCGCCAATGCGGTATGTTTAATAATTTGCGCAAAACCTTTCGATTTTTATTAAAAAATTAACAAATAAGTGTTAAAAAAAAGGTTGTGTATCGCTTCTTTATAATGTAATAGTGTAAAATGTTATAGTTTTATTATTTGTGCGGTATAAGATTGATTTCAAAAATGAAGTTACTTGTTTTGTGTTTTATTGTTATTGCTAATGTGACCTATAATAGCAAAGCATCTATTGAAAATATTGATCCAGAGAACAAGAACATTTTGCTTACGGACACAACAAAAAATTCAGGTAATTTTTTCGTGGATAATATGCAAATTTAACTTAAATTATAATAATTATAAAACCTAAGGGGAATTTATTTTATGTAGATTAATAGAGATTTAACCATTTACTAAAAATGTCTATGTAAATAATTTGTATAGTAAACAAACACATCTATTTTAATTACTTTAAAATGATTACATACCTAGTTCATTATATATTACATACCTAGTTCGTTATATACGTAGTTTTCGCTTATTTCAAAATATTTCACAGATAAATCGTGTTACCGACCTTGCAAGTTCAACGTGAAACCAAGGCGATGTCAATATAATTTCAAAATAGAGCCAACAGTGGGAGATGACGGAAGGCCGGCGCTACTCATCAATGACATGACACCCGGCCCACCGATACACGTCTGTGTCAATGACATTGTTATAGTCAAAGTACACAACAAAGTTCCAGGTCAAGACATGACTATACATTGGCATGGGGTAGAGCAGAAAGGTACGCCGTATATGGACGGTGTACCAATGATCACTCAGTGTCCTATAGGATTCGCCTCTACCTATGAATACGCTTTTATCGCGTCATCACCTGGAACATTCTTCTATCACGCTGATTCAGGTATTTCTTACTCTTACTCTTCTACAGACTTCCAATGTAACAAAACCTACCCCGTAATTAATGGAGGAAGATACATATTTTCCTTTTCTATGCGTCTTTTCCCCTATCCAATCCATTTGCCCTTCACATCCTTAAAATAAGGCATGTTTTGTGTTTTACCGCGTAGTTGAAGTTTATGTATTGTATTTTCAGTGTCTCATCAAAGTGATGGCGTGTACGGCTCCCTGATAGTAGATCAACCCCAACCTTTAGAACCACATTCGTCGTTATACGATTTTGATAAAACCAAAGAACATACTTTGATATTAGCAGCAAGATTTCCAGAACTTTTGTCGGGAAATTTAGATGTAAAAGAATTGAAACCTGATCTATTATTAATTAATGGAGAAGAAAAGAGTACGAAGTAAGTAGGAGTATTTTTTTAACGTTATTAATAGATTTAATGTCATAAAATAATCTAATCGTATTTAACTTACAACTCGTATGTTTCAAGAATCCACAACAATCGAGTCACTGCGCAATGTTTTTGAACAAAAACTTATTATGAGACAATTACTTTACGTGCAATCTGTTTTTATGTTGGATTACAAGATCTAGATCATTCATTTTTTTAATTTATATAGTGAAAAATGCTTTGATATTTCCATCTTCCCAATATCTTAATTAAATTAAAGTTTTTAAACTTTCGTGAGTCGTTATTTCAAGCTTAATTAATGTGTTGTAGTAACTACTAGTACTATCGTTTGTAGCATAGATTGTCTTACTACCAAATTCAGACTCATGACATCACTAATGGAAACCCTTAGCGGGGAGAATTAGTATGAGAAATCTAGTTCATAACATAATATTATAATACAGAACTAAGCGAGTGCGGGAGTTTAATGAAAACCTCGTCATCATTTACTATATTTAATTATGTTTGTTTATTTTTCAGAATTTTTGTCATACCTGGGTACACTTATCGACTGAGATTGATAAATGCTGTAGCGTTTGAATGCCCCCTGATAGTTGACATCGAGCAACATAACATGATAGTTATCGCTAGCGACAGCAAATCGGTGAAATCAATGTCTGCAGATAAAGTGAAGCTTTATCCAGGTATGTATCAAAAGAGACACTCTAAGAGCATGCAGTGTCTTGAATAGAAGTCGACTTACTGCGGGCGCACACTTTTAAATAAACTATAGCACAACTATTGTGCGATTGTCGGTTGTTTCGCAGCCAAATTAACTGTTTAGTTCCATAATTATCAATCAAGGAATCAAAATGCGACTAAACCGTTGTGCGATAGTTTAATCAAAGGCGCAACGCTCATATTCTTTATCTTTTCAAAGAGGTTTTACGTCTTTATTTTTTTGTTTTATGCAGAGAGTGTATTTATAGTTCCCATCTCGACTTCTCCATTTAGTTACTTGGAAGCATAACTGCGTGTCGGTATGAAAGGCGCTATACGATAGTGAAATCATTTACAATCTTGTTTTTCAAGGTAATATACAAGCGATTTGCTGCGCAGGAATTAAATATTTCGATAAATTAACCTTGGGGTATAAGTAGACTTACCAATTAAGTGTTAGTATTATTTTCTTGTAAGAAACTAACATCCAATGTTTCGATTAGATTGTCACAGCGCATGGCGGCGGAAGGGATTGGTGGTCAGTATTCCTTCCCCTCCGAACTGGATACCTAGGACAATAGAAACTTTCGCTGCAAACAAGTCTTGATATGCCTCAAGCTTGTTTACTTTCTCTACTATTGACACCGCAGAGGAAACGGTAGTGAGATTGTGCATGTCATTTCTGTATCAAGTTGTATTTACGAAAGTAATATTTTTAATTTTCATTATTATATCGCATTGATGAATATTTTAGTTAGTATTAAACTATTTGTGGCGAAAGACGATTGAGGAAGTGACAAGAGTGCGGCAGATTGCCTTTGCGACACTTCTGCTAATCTTAACAAGCATGGTGCAAGCCGACTAATGTTATTTATATCGTTGATGAGCGATGTCTTGTTATATAATACAGAAAAAAACGATTAACGAGTAAATCAAATTGTCGATTCATGCAATGTAAATCATACTAATATTATAAATGCGAAAGTTTATATTGATGGGTGGATGTTTGCTAGAGTTTGTAGCCTAAACGGCGAAACGGATTTCGATGAAATTTGGTATAGGTGTAGAGGATAGTCTGGAAGAACACATAGGCTACTCATTTTAATCCACGCGGACGGAGTCGCGGGCAAAAGTTAGCCCTTAATAATATGGACTCACTAAAAATATAAGCAAATTATGATTGCTATTTGAATAGCAGTAACTACATTTACAGGGTGGTATTCATTATATTTTTGACCGACTTCCCAAAAGAAGGAGGTACTGAATTGGTCTGTATGTTTTTTTTTGTAATTCACTTTTCGAACGGACAAATACGTGCAAGAGTTTGTATGTTCTATTTTTATAAGTATAAAAATTTAAGCCGATTATTGGTAGGGACAACAAGGCATTAATAGTCATTATATCTTTGAAACTCTGGACAAGTTTATGACATTAAAAACATCTTACTCTACAAAGTTTGTCAAGCCCTGTATGTTACAGTAGTTCATAATTAAATGGACGTCTCGTAGGTTCTATACTCATGTATTTTAGGACAATTTTACGACAAAGTGCATAGTCAGTGAAAATGTAAAAGTGCAATATTTAGCCCGTTTTCACCTCACAACTGAGAGAAGGAGAAAGGCAATGATGATTTGTCACTTTTGGTCCACTTACGAGTTTAAGGTCAGCGCTAAAACCGGTTTCGACTTGCCTTATTTTGCTTTCATATTAAAAACGCATACTTTCTTATCTTTCCGAAAATATGTAAACAAATGAAAACTCATCGATATTAAAATGAATCAAACACGAACACAGTCAAAAGTTTATTGCGATTATGATCTTTTAATTAATGAATATAAAAAAGATTTTCGCTTGATTACTACCTTCATCTTATTTCTGTTCTTGTCCTACTCTATGTAGTGTCAGATTTTCGTCCTCCTTTCTTAATCATGTCACCTTACTCATGATTCATTTCATAGCAGTAGGCCTTTTTTCAGGCTTTTCAATGTTGAAACTCCACATTTTTAATTAGCAGATTTTGTTGTCATATTTATGAGTGTTTTATTGATTTCAGGAGAGCGCATGGACGTTGTGGTGGAAGCAGTCCATAAGAACGGTGGCTACTGGGTCAATGTGCGCGGTAGTAATACTTGCGATGGCTTGACAGCACACGGCATGCTTCTCTACTCCGGGTTCAACTATACGTCACTATTGGAACAAGGTCCGGGAGGAAAGGTGATTTTTTTTGATAATTTACTTGAACAAAAAAAAATTGCTGCTCTTTTTATTGCTTATCTTTTTAAAGAAGATTGGATAGACTTTGCAAGGTCTTAAATTCAACCTAGCTTCAATTCCCATATCCTTGGAAATAAAATAAATGAATAATTATTAAAATACCAGTGAATGAAAATATGTTCATACTTTTTCAGAAACCAAACAGTGACGAACTTTCTAATAACGAAAAGATAATAAGTGGCCAAAATTTATTGTCTCTACAAGAAGAAAACCTTAGTAAAGATGTTAAAACGATATATTTGGGGGTCGACAGACATGTGATACCGTTTCATGATGAAGATAATGATTACAGATATCTAAGTGACGCTACAGCAAAGAAAAACTTTTATCCTGCAGCTGTTTGTAAGTACATATTTACGGTGAAAAAAAATTTTATTTCTATGTTTTCAAAAAGAATGAAAGGGACACCAATATGTTAATGCTAATGGTTTAGCAGTGGAAATATCTATGGCTCTATCTAGAGAATGGATTGTTGAAGTCAGATTACTCTAAAAGATTTTTCATATGGTAATAGCTAAAACGGCCTTTAATGTGTTATATATGTACCTTTACTAGCTTAAGTGTTTTTCTAAATACTGTTTAGATATTATTTGGTAGAGTTTACTGTTTTTTGGATATATTTTTTAAACAATTTATCTTAAAATAATTCATATTACAGCATTACATGAAAGAGGTGTGGTACAAATAAATAACAAAAATTTCCTTTACCCAAATGAACTGTACCTACTAAAACCTCGCAGCATAAAACCTGATGTTATTTGTAACGTTGGCGATGAGATGATGAACAAGCAACTTCAGTGTTTACAAGTTTTGAAAATAGCTGACAAGAAAATTGTAGAACTGGCCATTGTAAATGAAGGTATTCATTTATTTTATTTCATGTTATACTCTTTGTCGAAAGGCATAAGATAGATAATTGCATAATACTTAGGTCTTGTAAAAAACTGACCATAAAGAAAAAAAGATAGTATGAAAAAGTGACTACAGAGAAAGTTTGTTGCGTTTATTGTCAAATTATAATTAAAAAACATACAAACGAATTGAACGTTCTTTTAAAATTCGTAGTAACATTCATCTATTAATACTTTCTCTATGTAAAAATACATTACAGGTTCTGGAAGCAATGACTCTTACACATTTAACATGCATGGTTATTCAATGAAAGTTGTGGCCACTGGCCAGACTAAAGATGGTAAACCAATTTCAAAATCAGAGTTCCAATTACTTGATAAAAGAGGAAAAATTGAGAGGTACGTTTTAAAATGTATTGCTATTTTTGAAAAGCTCATTACAAAGTGTATTCTAATTAAGGCTGATACACAAAATAAGGTTAAGTAATATAGTATCGGTGTAAAATTAAAAAACTTAAAAACGAATCAATGTTACAGAAATTTAAGAAATCCTCCAATGAAAGATACATTCACAGTACCTAACAAAGGGTACACAATAGTAAGGTTAAATGCCGCTAGAGGGGGCAGTTGGATGTTAGAATGCAGATCCTGTGGCTTCTCATTACCTGTCGCCATACTCATCGATGTTCCAGTGACCATTCCTAAAGCTGTCGTTGACGTTTTACCTAAATGTGGTAGTTATAAACCAGCTGATGTGCTCTTAAATTAAATAACGATAATAGACTGAATATAAATGTAATTCAACTTATTGTAAGAAATAATAAAATCTATAAGAGAAATATACTTGGAATTTAATTAAATTTATCTGATTGATACTTTTCAATTTACTTAACTTAAAACTGAAAACTTTATCTAAGAAGCAAAAAATGTCTAAGACTTAGTGTAAAAAATACAAATATTTTATTTTATAAACAAATTATAGCATTCTTATCCATTACTTTTAACATCTACAATATGTTATTTAACAATATGCTTGTTAATAAAATCAAGATAAGAGGCTACTTTCGTATGAATAGTTGGCGCACCTTCTTCACCGCACGGCGTCATTCCCCACGAGACAATACCGAGTAATACAACCGTAGAATTATTATAATCTTCAACGATAACACCTTCATTACTATCGTATTTTGTCGTATTAGAATCTTTAACAATATGTAAAACTAAAGGCCCTCCAGAATCCCCACTGCACGCGGCAACACCGCCAGTGATAGGTCCTGTACAGATGTGTGTTTCTTCATCTAGAGGATTAATTTCATCTTTCTCTTTCACACCTTCTATAGCTTCATAGCAATCTGGAAGAGTAAAAATATGTAAGACCCTTTTATCTTTAGAGGAGCTGTCGCCCGCAATCTTCGTTAGCGTAGAACATTCCCGCGTGCATCTACTTTGCACCAGCTATAATACCATCCAGTCAAAGTCCCGTCCAAATCGGTCCACCCGTTGCAGTGATAACGATCCGGTTGCCATTTTGACACCGCGGAATTAAGAAAGTTTCGGAGATTTATCATGTTCTGACTAAACAATCTTTGACACCGACGGCCCATTTTTAATATTCACTGTAACTACTCGTGTGTCAAGAATGGTTTTACTTTGATGCGATTTATTTCTTTTATTCTTACTTGTAATCAAAATATGACTACTGCTTTTAAGGTCCCTTTTTTGTAGTGTATTATTAAACTTACTTACCTTCATAAGGAAGATATGTGACTTCAATTTCTTGCAGCTTATCAGGAAAATCTAACATTAATATACTCGTGCTTAGAAGACCCCAACCGGATATTGTTAGTAATTGTTGTTCGAGTTCCAAATCGTTAGGTAAACTTATTGGTTGTAATTCTCTTGTAAATTTAAATGGCGTGAATGTATATAGAACTGCAATATCATGGGATCCAATGCCTCTGTAAAATGTTATTGTTTCAATCATCACAATGTTTTATATTTTTACGGATACGATGATTTTGTTATAAATTAAATTGAGTAGTTAACTACCCATTGTAATCGGGATGTGGATATTTTTTAAATATTGTCCTTATTTGTGCTTGTGGTCCGAAAAAATAGTTGTTATGAATCCCTGCAATTGCATCCAAAGGTAACCATTTCATTAGAAATGAATCAGACACACAATGTGCAGCGGTTAGTATCTGAAAATAATCGTAAATTTACATTGATTCCAAAATAACACTGTGTATCAATAAATTATAATATTTGAGTATAATTTGATCTTCCTCATTATATCAAATTAATCATCTAAATGTAACATCATCTCCCCCACCTTATCCTACTCCCGTAGGGTCGGCGCACCGGGTTTTCGTCATCCAAATAACTCTGTCATCCGTCATCTCAGTCATCACTCCCTTCTTGATCATGTCACCTTTTACGCAATTTATCCACCTCTTTCTATTACACATTGTGATCATATTAAGGCAATATATTACAATTGTAAATAATATACCCTATTTTTGCTAATGATCGATCCGCCACAAATATGAAGTCGGAACCATAGAAACCTTTTCTGCAATGAAACCATGTAAGGATGGCTGTACGGAGTTGCTTCATGACCTCCAGTGACTTTAGGCATTATTTCTTCTAATGACGCTAGAACATAAATACGATTATCGGAACACACGTTCAATACTTATCAAAGCACTTAATAAAAAACATTTTTCTAATATAAAAGTACTACATTATTTACCTGTCAGAGAAAATGATGAAATACAAAGTAGAAAATAGAGGATCGCATTTAAACCCATTGTCAGCAGTAGTGAAAATAATTATGAGTAAGAATGTGTTCATTATAGAACAACTTAAATAGACTTTTGGCAGGGGCAACAAACTAATGGGCAGCAATATCTTAAAAAATATTTTGTCGCATATAATCATACAGTCTAAATCTACGACAAATTATGAAACAGCCAGCAAATATTAGACAAACATCTACTCTATTTCAACTAATCATTCGATAATTGATTTGACAAGTTCAAATTTTTGACAACCGTACAACATAAAAAAGGTATGTTTCACCTGAAATTAGGTGAATTAATAACTCGAGGCGGAGTTTTAAAGTTTGTTATTGTCCACAACTCTGTGTATACGGGTAATTGTAATATTTAACAAACCAGGAATGCAGTTTAATATTTGAAGCAAACATTTTGTTTATTCAAATTGAGATGAACTAGAAAACTAATGGTAAAGATTTTCAATTCACGCAATTATATAAACGAAGACTTGAGTGTACAGTATTTCTTTTGATACATTTCGCAACTAATTTGCAAGAAATAATTGTCATTGTGGAGTACTGCGAGTGGGAAAAGGACGGAGATTATAAGGTACAGTCGCAGAAAACCGCGGTGTTGTGTGTAATCACTATTTTTTTACGCACAGACACATATTGCGTTGTATTGATTTTTTCGCGTCTTTTAAAATGTTCAAACGATCGTAACTACTATATTGGGACACCGCCAGTTTCCCCGACTGTACGTATATAATTAAGTCACGCATACTTAAAGGAAACCACAATTTAATTTGGTATTTTTTATTTTAATGTCAAAATGACTATTATTTTATTATAAAACAATAGATATAATTTAACACAGATCATTGTAATACAAGATACATGTTAAAGATATTAGACCCCTCGTGGCATTCCTACCACAGTAGTCCATTTTACATTAAAATGCTACTCTGTGTCAAGTCGCCGAAGACACCAACGTTTGACATAAGCTAGATTTACATTTTATGATTTTAAATATTGGCACGTAATTGTTCATAGAAGGGTATATCAAATGTTTGCCATTTTATTCAGTGCCCGGTTCATCTACATCCAGCAATCCAGTTCAAAAAGAAAACCACACAGTGTATTTAATGTTGTTAACTTTTTCCAGTTACAACGAGCACTGATTGATCGTTGGACTGGAATAATGTAAACCGGGCATTATAATCTTAGGTTACATGGGTTATATGTTTGTATCAGTCTTATTTCCCTAATATGATAATATAATTGGCTATGTCGATGCTAGATGGAGTATTAAATAAAATCTTGTAATAAATGTAAATCAAACTTAAGTTAAACGCGACCGCATGAGTTTGTCCGGTTTCCATCCCACAAGAAGAGAAATTATTAACACTACTGAACTCAGCAGTATTCAAAGAACCAAGAACTAGTAACTTCTGTTACGGTTCGCAGTCTTTGAAAGTCAGGATAATATACCAATTTAAACTTATGTCGACTATACATTATACATGAAGATTGTTGGTAGCTCCAAAACATTCCATATTATTTTAGTGAAAATCTCAAGTGGAAAAGGGGCCTAAGTACCTAAATCGTGAGAGTCAAAATGGCGGGTGTAACTTAATTTCGTTCTAGAGAAGGTACTATTTTTTTTTAGCACGGTACTAAATAGTACGTTCGAGTTACATTATTTTTAGTAAATGGCATAATTACATTTGCTATGGTACACCTGCCATTTTGACTCTCACCCTAAATCCGCTTAAGAATTATTCATGAAACTATAAATTATTGTTACGCAATACAAATTGTTGTCATGACAACCATAAATTACTGTCGCGAAAAGATACTTGGTAACGTGTAATGGATTGTTTTGTAGCTATCTGTCATATAGAAACACAATGCAAAAGGTCGTTTAAAGTTTGATAGAATTATAATATTTCTATTTTCTCATACTAACATTAGAAACTTTACACCTGACTTTAACGATCTACATTTAAAACTAATAATATTTAATTACAACTTATTTATAAAACTAAAAAACAAGCAACAAAAATATAAATATATTTAAATGAAAATTCAAAGTTTTCACAAATGTATTTGCAACAGATTAAGTATAAATTACATATATAGAGCGGGCGCACACCTTTGACTAAACTATCGCACAACTGTTTAGTCGTGCTTTGATTCCCAAGCTTGTATGCACACTATTCGATTTTTACTTGTGCAATTAAACAGTTGAATGGGCTGAGAAACAATCGACAATCGCACAACTATTGTGCGATAGTTTAATCAATGTTGTGCGCACGCTCTTAAGGTCAGTAAACGAAAAACTTTGGCCTTCTCTAGAGTAAAAGTGAAACAAGACACTTCACGTGGTTATAATATCTAAAGTAAATACCGTTTATAGAATTATTTACAGAAATAAACATAAAAAAAAATCTCGTACACTGCAACTTTTTACCGATCAAACGGTATATGGCAAATCGGATAACGAATTAAACCGACTTTCGTTCGCTTTATAAGGTACGTAGTAAAACCTTGAGAACCATTTAGAAGATCGGCTAAGCCGGTTGGCTGGTCATTCTCAATGAAGTATTGGCAAGTATGCAGGCGTGATGGCTGGCAGATGGTTGCCACATCTAGGGAAGTTGAGGGGCACGGGCGGCAGGTCTGCTTGCGTGCCGACGTGGATTATTAAGTTCATCCCAATTACTATGTGGAATATGAAGTGGCAGTGGAACAACCAGTAGCCTGTAATAAGAAAAAAACATATTTTCATTTAATATTATATTTAGCTTTATAATTCATAGCATTCGTATCATATCTATATCTAAAGTAATATTGTAAAGAGGAAAGATTTGTATTTTTGTGTGTATTGATGTAACTCAAAAACTACTCGGCTGATTTCAAAATACTTTCATCATTTAAAAGCTACGTTATCAGTGAGTAATATGGACTATTTTCTTTTACTATTTTTATTAGCACGAAGGCAAAGTCGCGAGCAACAGCGAGTCAAAATAAAACTTTAATGTTAACACAAAATGTCGTGAAGATATTATTCAATTTGTTTCATAGCATTGGGTCACAATTTAAGATTGTTATAATATGAACACACACACAGATAGTTAGCTCGCAGACCTGTTTAGTATTTATACTAAGGGTAACACAGATATAAATTTTCTGTTAAATTTACCTGGGTTATCAGCTTTCAATCTTAAAACAACGTAGCCATTGTTCGGCACAGCCAATGTATCCTTAAATGGAGGAAGATTGTACTGTCTTTTCAATAGGCCTTTTCTGTCCAAATCCAAGGCGTGCTTGAGGTTGATTTTCTTTATATTTTTGTCAGGGGACCGACCCATACCGATGACGTTGAACGGCGTTCCATGAAGATGGAATGGATGTGACAGATTTGGCGATTGCACTGGAATGATACAAAGTCAAACGTAAATGAGTATACACTATAAGAAAACAATAATATAGAGAACTTGGAACAGATAGCACAATAGGGAATTGACAAAAATCAATAACAGAATGTTTGGTAACTTAGACTTTTTTGAGGTTATTTAAACAGTTTGTTAGTTCATTTCTCTTTCTAATTCCATATTACGGAACATCTGTAGGTATTAAACGAATCATCGTGCTGTTTTAATTTACCTTCATCGACGAGGACAATTTCAACAACAGAGTTGAGAGGTACATCGATCATATGCGTGCAGCGACAGTCGACAGGGCAGTTTGCGGGCCGGTTGTCGCCATTACAGAACAGGTCGGCGGGGAGCTCGTGCATCTGCGACAGCGGCGGTGCAGGCGCTGCCACGTACGAGATCTCGTCCACTAAACTCAACACGTGGTCACCACCGAAACCGCCAACTGTAACATTTTCGCAGTGTTGGAGATTATCCTTCGATAAAACAACGGTTTGCCTACTGCTTAATTAACACTGTTAATGAACACCATAAAATAAGCGATAAATGTGGTTGCTTATTGGGAAATCTCATGTCATTGTCAGAATATTTCCGACCGAAGGTAGTATTGAAATTAACAGAATAATCACAAGCTCCATCGAAAATCAAGATTCAATTTACTATTAAATTGTTTGTGTTTGTTTTACTGTCCAAAAAGTTTAACAATTGTTACGTTCCAGAGTATCACTTACCTAAGAAGTTTTTATACGTGTTTTCCTGGAAAAGATCCTTAGGCCTATAAAAGTGGAAACGGAATGGCAAGAATATTTTTACGTCCGGCCTCTCTTGTAGTATCGCCTTGTCAACTGGCTTAGATGATTTCAAGTTACTGACACACACAGCGTCATTTCTTGGTATATCGCAAATAGCGTCTAGAGGATTCAACACCTACAAAATAATATCATATTAGAATATAGTGTCACTGTCGAACAAAACATGCAATAACTGTACAAGCTGTTATTTAAAAACAAAGTAGTAATTACAAATTGTGCACCATACCTTTCCATTCTACATTTTCACATTACGTTTGTGATTTTGATTTTGTCAACTAAAATAAAATATGTTTAGTGAACCAACCCTTTATAAATATATACAAAAACCTTAAAAATATATTTACAAAGTAAATTGTAAAGTTACGATTAATAAAACAAAGAAATGTTAACATTTATTTTACAGGATACAAGGTTAAAATGAAAATTTTATTTATTTAATAAAATTTATTAAATTTGTTTTAAAATTTACAAATTTCTTAAAATATTAGTGATAAATACACATTGCTCACATTTACAGCAATTGAAGAAATACTAATAATTAATTTGTAATAAAGATTTGCCTCTTTAGGTATACAATGATTTCTTAAAATAATAAATCTACCACGTCTACAAATCTGGGGACAAAGTGTATTGAGTGTCTAAACTTTACACATCTCGTAGGACCTCTTATGGTTATGGTAACTGGGAATGGTAACAAAGCTTTGTATCTATTTTCTACGTAATCATACGGACAGTCTTCATCGTTTAGGGGAGTTATAGAAGCCATTTACTTATGAAACTGTATTTACAAGGATTGCGGTTTTTTCATATTTACATTTCCTAGAAATTTTGTGTAGAGAGCGTTGTTAGTAGAACGATGGTAGGATCTCTTAAAGTTCTAAATACGTCTATATAGATTTCACACATATACACGTAATAAATATCCTTGGTGAAAATGTAATGGCAAGTCGTTAGTACAGAACGAAAACGTTCATATAAAATAGATAAAAGGCACCCGTAGGCGAAGAAAACGTTGTACGTTGTGAGCCTCGAACTACACAATATATTAGGCGAAACTCAATTATGAAAAGTATCACCAAATATGGCATATTACAAAAAAATCGATCCACTCATAAAAGACTCATTTAAATAAATTCACAAGCCATCCTGAACTCCTGTTGAAACATTCGAATAAAAAAAACACAATGGCAGAGTCGAGCACTTCGAGTCCGCCTGACACATCACACAAAACAAACATAAAATTACACTTAGTTAACACGAGAACAATTCAACTGCTGAACCAATTCTTTGATGTATGAAAACTGAAAATTTTACTAGGAACCGATTTAATTGATGGGTGGAAGGTGATCCCCACAAGTTGGGAAGTTGGGCGGTACTGGGGGTAGATCGGCTTGCGTTCCTACTTGGAGGACGACGTTCATTCCAATGACAATGTGGAAGAGGAAGTGGCAATGAAGTAACCAGAAGCCAGGGTTGGTGGCCCTAAATCTCAAGACGACATAACCGTTGTTGGGAACGGCGATTGTATCCTTCGCAGGTGGTAAATCTCCTTGTTTCAGATGACGTTCGAGCAATCCTCTTCTGTCTAGGTCGAGCGCGTGTTTCAAGTTGATCTTCTTTACGTTCTGGTCGGGTGATCTTCCGATACCAATTACGTTATAGGAATAACCGTGCAAGTGGAACGGATGGGAAAGGTTGACAATTTGAACTGTGAAAATAGAAAGAGATGTTGAAGGTAAAATTGTATTTGAGTAAACAAGCTAAACATATAAAGCGAGGTGCGATCGTCAAAATGCAGTATACCTTCATCTACAAGAACCATTTCCACGACTGCGTTAAGCGGTATGTCAACTTTGTGTGTGCACATGCAGTTTTGTCCGCAATTGGCAGGTCGGTTGTCACCATTACAGAATTGTTCGGGGTTTATATCGTCGTACTGACTTATGAGCGGTGCCGGTGGTGCCATGTACGATATTTCGTCTATTAAACTAATAACATGATCTCCTTGCGGTGCCACTGGAAACATTATTTTATGATAGTTAGCTTAAGTTTTATAAAATGAAACCAAAGAAAATATTTGTTGTGCATAGCATGTCCTCACCTAAGAATCGATTGTATGTATTGGGCTGGAATAACAATTCTGGTTGATAAACGAAGAATCGGAACGGTAAGAAAATTTTAACATCAGGCCTCTCCTGGAGGATCGCCGGGTCGATGTGATTGGCATTCTTCAGTTGACTGACGCAAATCGCGTCGGTCCTGGGTACATTACATCTGGCATCCAGTGGGTTCATAACCTGAATAGTTAGTGAGGAGAAAGAACGTGCAATTACTAGTTTACGTGCAACACTACTCTACTATAGTAACTACTCAGAATATTTATACTACTATTTGTTTTCAATTTATTTATACTACGATTTTTCAGTTATATCAGGGAGAGGTGGGAAATATAAAATGTTTATTAAAATTTTACAATACCAGCAGTCTTATCATCTAAATGCTAACCTCGCAAATTTAACCTAATAAAATAAACTGCTGCTATTGTACAATTGTTAATAAAAATGTGCTCTATTTTTTGATTTGGCGGAGTGCCTATAAACCACATTCCTTTGACTACTTTTCTTTCCTCTAAGATGCAGAGAATATTTACAATTCTTCGATCTACATTTTACAAATGTGTACACAAGCCAAGTAAGTTATTTGAAGGTGACAATATGTCCAAATTTATTTATATTTTCCAATGAATAGTCAGGATGTACGTTTGAGCAATCAGCTGCCACGAAATCGATTTAATCTAATCGAGTTTGTCGTTCTAGCTCCGCAAAGCTTATATGCAACATCCGCTAATTATTATTAAATGGCCCCACGTCCAGGCGTGAGATTTGATAAAGAGAAAATATTTTCTCACATAAATCTCACTATGTAAACAGATTTATTTGTCTTTAAATCCGTCTATAAAATTAACTACTACTTTTGAGAGTATATACAAAATGTTTCAAATATGTATAGTATCATTATGATCAGTTGGGATACGTACCACTCCCTGCGGAATTCCTACATCGTAGGTAGGCGCTGGTGTCGATGGCTGATATGGACCTCTAGCGTATCGGAGTATACCCAACTGTTGAGCCCTCTTTATACCGCACTCCCCGAGACCACGGACTTGTATCCAGTATGCTCCTATATTATTTTTCGCTTCAATGACAAAGTCGTATCGTTCACCTGTATCAAAGACCATATTTTTAGAATCTAGTAGTTAGGCACGTTGCAGAAATGTGATAAGATCAGCTGAATAATGCATCCATCTCTTTACTATTATTTCATCTTCTTTATAGAAGTAATAATTTCTATAAATTTTGATTTTTCACGAAATTACTACATAGCAGCAGTTATATAAAATCAGGCGAGCCGCTTGTCCGTTTTCCTTCTTTTAACGTAAGTAAAACAGTTTAGAAAATGTTAAATCAATGCTGTAAGAGAGGAAGCACTGAACGGCAGTGTAATTTGTTACACTTCAGTGAGCATACCAATTTACTAGATAGGAGCTACAACGTAATAAAGGCGTGTCTATTTAAATTCCTTACACCTTAATTATATCGTAAAATCATTACTGATAGCAACGATGTGGAGTTAACAATAATGACTTGCCGGTTACATGAGATTTTTAATTTGCTTGAGTAAGAGTTATTTATTCGACTAGGATTATCTATAACTACGTTATATAGTAATTGTAGCCGTTGCTATGTTATTTACGCACCAGAGAATGAAATAATGGTGTTGACTTGCACTGGTTGCACCGGCTCCCCGTCTGTTGCAATGACTGTCAGGTTGTGGCCTTCGATGGTGAGCTGCGCAGGACATACCGAAGCGAAAGCGTTTATCATCCTAAACCTATATCTTCTGCCCGGAGTTATTGTGAACACTTCCAAAGGCGTGTTCGTCATGAAACCGGTATTAGGATCTCTGAACTGTCCTTTGCCGTTTATAAGTACGGATTCGGGATCTTGACCGGTGTTTACGGCGAGGCGACCTGGATATCTCTCAGCGGCGTCCTCGTGGAGCCAATCACTGAGTAGCATTACGTGTGTGGTTAAGTCGTAATCGTAAAGGTGACTGTTAGGATCTTTGGAAGGCGGTTGGCGTACGACAATGCTTCCGTATAAACCGTCCAATTTCTGGAGACCGGTGTGCGCATGCCAGAAATGAGTACCCGCGTTACCATACCATTGATATCTGGAAATTGCAAGATTTTATACGTTAAGATTATGAATTGCTAAGCTCCATGATGATTATTTTGTGAATAATTGTTTGTACCTGAACGTATTTCCTTGTTGAATAGGACATTGCGTTACGAATGGCACACCGTCGTAGTATTGCGATCCTCTTTGCCAGATGCCGTGCCAATGGATAGTTACTTCCATACCTTCCATGTGGTTCTCTACATCGATGACAACTTTGTCGTTCTCACACACTTGGATTGATGGTCCCGGTAACATTCTGTTAGCGGTGAGTATACCGCGCTCAACTCCGTCGGCCAGTACACATTGGCAGTGAGACCAAACTACGTTGGTCGCATTTGGTGTACATACTTGGCAAGCCCTGAAATAACAAAATTCAAATCTGAGGTAATTGGCAATTTACTCGAAAAATTCTAAACATGTTTCTATGCAGATGTTATTCAAGTATTAGTTTTGTCGTCTTATGGTTTTAAAATTAATTATAGCTTATGTGTGCGACATGAGAATTATGAAAGTGAGGAAGGGTTAGTCAACATTTCAGTGATTTGATTAAATATCATGAGACGGGTTTGTTACGGGTTCTCGCGATTATAGCCTGTTATTACATCACAGTGTTCTATAAGCCGCGCTTGTACGAACAATTTCAATGTTTATGTAGGCCGTGTCGACACACTTCAATATCAAACTGTGCCCATCCAGCTTAAGTCATTAAAAAACGGTACACTAGGTAAACCTGCATATATTTTAAATCTTTCTGAAACTGTTTAGGAATAAAATAAGTCGTTTATACTTACGCTCCCAAAACTGTGTACATCTCAAGTGTGAAATGGTAATAGCAGATCCTTGGTGGTTCTCCCTCTCTACAGGCTCGCGCGCATTCGTCAGGTGCAGATAAAGATGGATTCCTTCTTAGTTCAGCTGTAGCACTACTCGTGAAGTCGAGATGTTTTAGAGTTGTTTTACCATTCGAACCCTTGGTGAGTGGTGGCAATGGATTACTTCGGAAGCTGCCACTGAGCGGACCGCTGCCGCTCGTCGATGCGAATGGGTTGGCAGAAGCTCCAGAAGAGCCGAAGGAGTATCCATCGCTAATTGAGGAGGGATGGGTCTGGACTAATCCATGTGTTGAGGAGAATTCGCTGCCGCTGTCGCGGAAAGGTGTCGCGGTGCCGGCTTGCCACCACGAGGCTGACGTTGATTGATCATCTATCGTTCCTGCTTCTGAAAAATAAAGATTTTATCCATTAGGTAATTCTAAAGATAAATAAATAGTCTTTTGAAATGAGTGAATTTTGTGTTTAATGTGCAATTGTTTCTCCCATTATATCGACAGAAATTTTGATTTAAACTATTTACTTGCACTAAGGCGTTTTTCCTATGAGTTCTGTAATTCAACTTGTAGATTGCAAAAGGCATTAAATCGTCGCGTCAAACTGTTGTGATCATTTCAGTATACTTTCGAAAATGTTTTAGTTTTTCTTTTGGTAGCATTTAATAAATTTCAGTAACAAACCACTCAGAAATTGGACCGTGTTGAATTTTACCATTATTAGATGCGTGTCAAATTTGTCTTCTTTGTAGTTAAAGTAGAATTTACTAATATATTTTGTTGTCTTTTGTAACACTAACTTAGCACCCTGGTTATGAGTACTTAAGGAGCTTTACTTCCTTGTTTGTCGCTTGCTTTTTGTGTCAATTGACCCGCTGAATTCGAGTCCGAGTTAATGTTTACTTCATTTTCAAGTGATACAATCAGTTGTATGAATTGCAACATTGTCGCTGCCTTGCTTGCTGCCAGATCAAAGGCTTCGGTTTACTTCAAGTTTTTGTTTGAAGACAAATTTGTTATGTATTTAGTACCCGTGACCCTGAACACTTTGTTACTTTTACTTCCTCATTGGTTAAACATTATCGGTGGCTATTTTAAGTATGGCACGACTTCTGACAGTATCTATTGTTACAACATTTTATTTATCTGATGTAATAAAAATAATTCTAGTTATTTTTGTGGTAATACGAGTTTTACCACACACACGTTATTTCTATTCAGAGTTAGCTCAGTTAAAAGTTAAGTGATAAATTTGATACTGTTTACTTCGCTTAGCATGTACGAGTACGTCCATACTAATGTTATAAAGTGGAAAGATTTGTATTTATATATATGTTGAAATAACTCAAAAACTACTGGGCCGATTTTAAAAATTAATTCACCGTTAGAAAGGTAATTTATCTGTGAGTAACATAGGCTACATTTTTTAATTTCACGCAAGCGAAGTCGCAAGCAACAGCTAGTTTCTAAAAAAGTATTTAAAGCCAATAAATAAATCACCATTGTCTCGTTTCGCGCGCCTTAAGTATGCAAGTAAAAACAATATATAGTTATTGCATCATTATGGGTAAAAAAATTCCTTAATGACAAGATTTCTAAATGCATATCCATCAGAAATAGTTCACGTATCGAGTTTTTGTATAATAAATGCATGTATATCAACTTTCGCCGCAGATCCGACAGATTGTTGCATGAGCGATTACGAGTGGGTGTGAATAATTGCGCTTCTAAGAGATCAAATATAAATTACTTTCGTGATGGCATGAGCGATATACAGACGCACGGAAGAATTTCATGCTAAATAATTGAATGAGATTGAACGTCTATTAAAATGAAAATAGTTCTCGAACAAAACGTCATTCATTCGTCAACCTTGTTAAATTAATTCGTTCAGTAAAGCACAAGAGGAAATAGTTGGAGCTGATTTAAAACGTGCATTGGAAATATAAACAAAAAAACTGGTAATCATTTTAATCTGTACAATAGACACTATTTTTTTTTAATTCTCTAATATCAAATAAGTTTTGTACGTCAGTAATATTCTTGTGATTAAATTAAAAAAGACTTTGACCTTAATTGATCGGTGACATGTATTAAATGGATCTTTTCAGTCTCAATTAATCAAACCACGTTAAAACGCAATCGTCATGCAGCTAGATGCAAATGAAGTTAATATTACATTTATAACCAATCCATTTAGTGATTTGCGTATCATGCAATAATTTAGTTGTGATTTATTAGCAACAAGGATCTTTATTAAGGATCTAACAGTTGTTATGATTAAGCGTGACACTGAATTATGAATATTGGTACTGAATTTGCATACAATTTAATCCTACGGTCAGCTTTTCTCATAAATTATATAAATATTTTGGATATTGCTTTTCATCTTGATATTTTAATAAACTTATAGGTGTAATAGTATACTATGTTTTTTGTATTTAAAGGGCACATTCCGTATTTTTAGGCCCTTAGTATTTAACTGTGACCGTCGGTGGCTCAGCGATTGAAGCACTTGTATCTTGTTGTAATCTACAGGTCTTGGGTTCGAATCCCGCCATGTACCAATGTGATTTTCAATTTTTTCGGATTTCTTTCATAATTTAACCGTCGTTCTTACGGTGAAGGAAAACTTAATAATGCAACCTGCACATCGGCGAAGAAATTCACAGATATGTGTGAAGTCAACCAACCCGCACTTGGCCAGCGTGGTGGACTATGGCCTAGACACTCTAATTTAGGGTAGACTCCGAGCCCCTCGGTGGGGACATACAGTGAGCTGGTGATGTAGTATTTAATGCAAATGAAAAAGGTTATATTCAGTATCTAAGCCTTGAATAGTTTATTTGTTATTTATTAAAATAAATGAACGATGTAAAGTGTCTCTACTTCAACACAAAATGTATTATACAACCATTATCACTTAATACTTACTCAGTAATGAACATTTAAGTATTTCTGTTGATTCGCAGCTTGGTAATTATTTGCACAGGCAATTGTATATAAAGTATTTTGCCGTAGAAATATTTTTATTACCACTTTATATGGAGTCAGCGCTTTAGTTTTGTACACAAGTATTACTGAAATTCAATTAAAAAAAACTAAAAGCGAAAATTAGCAATAACCATTTAATGTATTCGACCTCGAATACTAGAGTTACTTTTATTGCCAGCCTGATATAAGAAACTATACGTTATTATCCTAGATTGCCTTGTACACCTTCCCCATTCCCGCCTTTCATATACAGTGTGAATTATTTCCTACTAGCTTTCGCCTGCAACTTCGTCCGCGTAAATAGTAAGCAGCCTATATGTTCCTCCGGACTATCCTCTACATTTGAGCCATTTTATCAAGATTCTTTCAACCGTTTAGACTACAAACTCTAATAAACATCCATCCATCCAAACTTTCCGTTTACAATATTGGTATAGTCTTTACAAATAGAAAATCTTAAATTCTAACAAAATTTTAAACATCTGACTATAACAACTTTAAGACTTTTAGAACAATCGTAAAGAAAAGTTAAAGAAAGGTACAATTTTTTGACAGTGGTAGAGCCCGCTTTAATATGCACGAACGGGTCGGCAAGCCCGATGAAATACCACGACCACACAGAAGACAGGCGTGAAGTGGGAGCAATTCCGCGTTTCGTCTGATGAGTGTGGTGCCGGAGGCCCAACTTTAGTGCCTTTTCCTTCCCACTCTTTCTCTTATAAGAAAAGGATGGGAAGGTGCTTAGGAAGTGGAAATATCCGGTTTATGTGCGTCTCCTCCTTGGTCGATTAAGGGTAGGCAACGCATCCGCTATAGCGAATGTCTATGGGCAGCGGTCGCTTCGCCATTTCGGCGGATTCATGTGGCCGCTTACTCCTTTGCCACCATATGATATAAGTAAAAAAAAATTTAACGAACTGATTACTGTAATTCGAGATGTAATTATGTAAGCATCCATGTAAACCTCAATTAATCATACTTGATTACATATAAAATGAGTAAATTATATGTTGATAGCTTCAGGCTGTTTCGGACATTTATCACTCAATAAAAACTTTTATATCGAATGTTAATTAATTTCTTTGATTTCTATAAAAGGACATATTATATATAGCAATAAGTTATGTTAAGTAATCATATTTAAAAGTGGGACATCTAAATTATGTATAAAAGATGAATCAAATATAAGATGTAATTACCATATTTAGAAACAAAAAGATAAAATACATATTACGTTAATGGAAATGATGAAACAATAGTTAGTTATTTTTTTATTGCTTTCACCAAGAGATTGTAAATCTGGTGTTTAAATCTTTTAAGATATTAATCACACATATTATATTTTCCACATTACGAGCGCACACAACTTTGAGTAAACCATCGCACGATTATTTAGTCGCGCTTTGATTGCTGTAAGCTTATATGGAGGTGCGCACACTCAATTTTAGTTGTGCAACTAAACTGTTGAATGGGTTACGAAACAATCGACAATCGACAACAGTTGTGCGATAGATTAATCAAAGGTTTGCGCCCGCTCTTGTTGTTTAAAAATGATTTTCTGCATTAGTTAAAATAATACACACGATAAACCTAACCACAAAACTTAATTACTTATTGAATTAAGATATATTCTTTTCTCTGTTTTAATCAAAGAGAAGAAAAAGGATGACATGTGTCAATACAGCAGAAAACAAACAACATTCGAGATCTTGTCAAATATTACAAATCTAGAAAGTTAACTTGTTGTTAAATCATTTTGTTCCGTTGCATAATTTAAACCTAAATAAAAATCCTTCCCTCGCTGCGTTGATTCATTAAGATTTCCTTTCCCGTATGTTTTATCGGCATAAGAATTGTTTATATGAAGGGCAAATACATTACGATCTACCGATGTGTGGTCGAGCGCCGTTCTGAATCAAAATAAGCAACTTTGGCAGTATGCGCTTGACTTGAATTTGGTCATAAAAAAGGTCAATAAACTCTTTAGCAATATGTTGATGAATATTTTAATTAGGGGGAAATATTTTAATTACAAAAGGTATTTGGTAAGGATACTTGTACATACATTTTCAAGCCTCTACAGAGATATTGGAAAGAATGCCTAAGTAATTAGTTTTTTTTTTAATTTTTCTTTTTTATATACTCACCTAAACTCCGTAACTATAATCTCATACTAACGTACGCTTAGGAAATCAATAAATCAATAACCAAGGTTTTCTTTTTAACACAATTAATAGCTATTAAATCAAATGTCATAATAATTAATAATTATCCTACTTATGTTTATTAATTTTATTGAAAGGCGAATAACAAAGAGGTAAGAAACCTACAAGATAGAGTATTTGAGATAGTCATTGTTGTAGACAATGCTTGTCGATGAGTTTGAGCAATAGATCAT